TTCAACCTCACCGGGGTCGTCCCTACCACACCGGGGCCGTTTCGACCTGACTGGGGTCGTCCCTACCTCACGGGGGCTGTTTCAACCTCACCGGGGTCGTCCCTACCTCACGGGGGCCGTTTCAACCTGACCGGGGTTGTCCCTACCACACCGGGGCCGTTTCGACCTGACCAGGGTCGTCCCTACCTCACGGGGGCCGTTTCAACCTCACCGGGGTTGTCCCTACCACACCGGGGCTGTTTCAAGCTGACTGGGGTTGTCCCTACCACACCGGGGCCGTTTCGACCTGACTGGGGTCGTCCCTACCTCATGGGTCTTATTGCAACTTTAAATAAATTATTAGGCACATTTAAATGAGGGGGGGTTGGGCTGACCAGGTAGCTCAGTTAGTTAGAACATCATTCCAATACACCAAGGTTGTGGGTTCAATCTCTAGTCAGGGCACATATAAGAATTAACCAATTAATGCATAAATGATTGGAACAACAAATCAATCTCTCCCTCCCCACTTCCTTTATCTAAAAGTCAGTAAAATTAAAAAAAAAATTGTAATGAGCTATTCAGCCCAGCTGGCATTGCTCAGTGATTGAGCATTGGCCTATGAACCAGGAGGTTATGTTTAGATTCCTGGTCAGGGCACATCCTGGTTTGTGGGCTCCATCCCCAGTGTGGGGCATGCAGGAGGCAGCTAATCAATGATTTATCATTGATGTTTCTATCCCTTTCCCTTCCTCTCTGAAATCAATAAAAATGTATTTTAAAAAATAAGGTAGAAGGAAAATGATCAATAATAATAATTTTATGGTGCCAGAATATTTTCCAAAGACTAATGAGCTCATTCAACATGCACAATAAGTTTACAAAGTAGGTATTATTCCCATATTATACATGATGAAACTCAGGCACAGATCTACCATGTAAAATGCTGTTGAATGATCTGAGGTTTGACTGTTGTATCTGATAAAGTGGAGGCTGTTGCCCACTGTAATGAGAGAGGTTTCAAAGGAATGGAATATGGGGATGGATATCTAATTAGTGGGGCTTAAGGAGAAATCAAGAGATGAGCAATTTGAGACAGAAAATATTGATAACTCTTTTCTTTTGTAAAGAAATGGTAGCTAAAGTACATGTATGTGGTCTAGGAAGGTCCCCCCCCCCCACCTTTTTGAGATAAAAGTTTTATCAGCAGTTTGCAGATGAGAGTAGTTCAGTATTGATCAAATAACTGATCACTGGGAGAGGTGATAGATAAAAGCAAAGTACTTGGAAAGAGGATGCTATCTAGTGGGTTGTCATTAGAGAAGATCAGTGGCAATTAATGTAACAGGAGGGAAGGCAATATATAAGGCTACATATGGAGTTGAGTTGGTAGATTTGGTGTTGATAGAAGGAAGCAATTTTGTCTTTTTCTTCAATGAAATTAGTAAAAGTTGACAATATCAGCTATGAGTGAGGTGGGGAGGAGTGTTGGTTTGAAGAGAAAGAAAATGTGTGAAATTGTTAAATAGGAAATTAGGTGAGAGAAATAACTAGGGGCCTACCAGATATTTGTGGTTATAAATTTAAAGAGGGGTCAGAAAGAAGGGGGTAAAGGAGAGGGGGAGAGATGGAGTTTATGCTGTCATGTGCTTTTTGGAGCTGGGATTTTTGATGAAGGAGAGAGGGGACATGTCCAAGTTGCAAGGTCTGAGCAACCAAGAATCCCTATACAACCACAATCCCTGCTATGGTAGGGGTTTGGGCAACTGTATTTGTGGGACCTACAAGGAACCCTGGAATGGGAAACTGGTACTGCTGTGCACAGGCCCATGTTAGCTCAGGTGCGTTGGTGCCAAGACTATTCTATTTTTTATTGTGTAGCATGTTATATTACATGAATGTACCACTGTTTATCCATTCACCAGTTGGACATTTGAGTTGTTTCCAGTTTTTTGCTGATTGTAACAAAAGTCCCTATGAACATTTGCATATAGTTGTTTGTTTGTTTTTTTGTGAATACAAGTGTTTATTTCTCTTGGCTAAATAGGAGGTGGGCTTCTGTTCTAAAGTCATCCTATGTTTAACTTCATGAAAAATTATCTGTTTTGCAGAGTGACTGTGAATTCATTTTTTTTAATATATATATTTATTGATTTTTTACAGAGAGGAAGGGAGAGGGATAGAGAGTTAGAAACATCAATGAGAGAGAAGCATCGATCAGCCGCCTCCTGCACACCCCCCACTGGGGATGTGCCCGCAACCAAGGTACATGCCCTTGACTGGAATCGAACCTGGGACCCTTCAGTCCCCAGGCCGACGCTCTATCCAGTGAGCCAAACCAGCCAGGGCTGTGAATTCATTTATTAACATTCATTGAATACTTACCATTTACCTAGAGCAATACTGGGCAAAACTGACTAGTTTGGTAGACACTGTATGGCTCTCAGATCTTTTTTTTTTTTTTTTAAATATATTTTATTGATTTTTTACAGAGAGGAAGGGAGAGAGATAGAGAGTTAGAAACATCGATGAGAGAGACTGCACATCTCCTACCGGGGATGTGCCCGCAACCCAGGTACATGCCCTTGACTGGAATCGAACCTGGGACCTTTCAGTCCGCAGGCCGACGCTCTATCCACTGAGCCAAACCGGTTTCGGCCAGATCTTAAAATATTTGCAGTTAGGTCTTTTACAGAAAACATTTGTGGACCCATGTCAAAGTAGGTTGATAGGAGTTCTGGATCTGGTTGTACTACTTTCATAGGCACACTTATTTTATAGAATTGTAGTGTCTCATTAGGAAATATAATAAAAACCTTGCTCTTGATAGACAGAAATGTATTTTCACTTGTTTCAATTACTGAGAAATATCCTGTTATTCAAAGGTGTGTATAAAATGGGCAGGTTTTTATTTTCCCATTGTCACTGAAAATTGGGCTGGATATTTATAATAATATCATATTTTCACACACTGCTGCACACATCACACAATTTTGAACACTTATCACACTGTTGTTTGTTTGGACCTGGGATTTTTGAAGGGATTCTTTACATTGTAAAGAATTCTGTGTTTTGTCTTTATGAAGGAATGACTGGGATGAGACCACTGAAGCATCTTAAAAAATATGTAACAGTGGAAGTGCCACGTAAGAAACATTTAAACCTATAGAGAATTTTTGTGAGTTTATCTTAGCCAAACTGTCAATAATTGCCAGGCAGCAAAATCTCAACAGATTGAGATAATGCTCTGGAGCAGCAGTCACCAACCTTTCGGACTTCATGGACCACCAGTTGGTGACCGCTGCTCTGGAGAATGGCAGTTTTGTATCTTATTTTATACATTACAATCAAAAGAGGAGATCCATTTGGGTTACATGAAATCCATTGGCGATAGGTTAGAGAGGCGGGAAAAAGCAAAATAGGGCAACTTCTGGGATTGGATCAAAAGTAAAACAAAGACACATACTTCTTTTTCATAGGTGGGTATAGGATAGTTAACAGTCAATGATTAACTCAATAATAATGAGAGGATTTGTGATTTTCGAAAAGTGGTGCCTGTGCTTTGAGGGGTCAGAACAAGGATAATTACTTTGACCTTCCAAAGATGCAAAAAGACAGCCGTAGCTCGTTTGGCTCAGTGGATAGAGCGTCAGACTGTAGACTGAAGGGTCCCGGGTTCGATTCCAGTCAAGGGCACATGCCTGGTTGCGGGCTTGAACCCTAGTAGGGGGCATGCAGGAGGCAGCCCATTGATGATTCTCTCTCATCATTGATGTTTCTCTCTCTCTCTCCCTTCCTCTCTGAAATCAATAAAAATATGTATTTTTTTAAAAAGTAAAATCTACCATAATTTTACAAAAAAAAAACAAAGATGCAAAAAGACAATAGACAGGCTCAGTTAGGTAAGGATTGAGCTTTGTCATGGAGCTGCCAGCCTAGGACATGACTACCTACCATAAACTGCTTTTAGTTAAAAATTTTTAATTTTAGGCTATTCTTTGTGGTTATTTTTGGTCTTTAAGTTTGTAAGGGTGCCATGAAACCCTTGACATGAGCTTGTCAGGTTTAATATGTGGCCCTTTTAGTCCACAATATTTACCATTGACGTGTACAACCAAGAATCCCTGTTGCAGGGGTCCTCAAACTACAGCCCGTGGGCCACATGCAAATACAAATATTGTATTTGTTCCTGTTTTGTTTTTTTACTTCAAAATAAGATATGTGCAGTGTGCATAGGAATTTGTTCATAGTTTTTTTTTTAAACTATAGTCCAGCCCTCCAACGGTCTGAGGGACAGTGAACTGGCCCCGTTTAAAAAGTTTGAGGACCCCTGCTTCAGTGGTTCTCAACCTTCCCTAATGCCATGACCCTTTAATACAGTTCCTCATGTTGTGGTGACTCCCAACCATAAAATTATTTTCGTTGCCACTTCATAACTGTAATTTTGCTACTGTTATGAATCATAATATAAATATCTGATATGCAGGATGTATTTTCATTGTTACAAATTGAACATAATTAAAGCATAGTGATTAATCACAAAAACAATATGTAATTATATATGTGTTTTCCGATGGTCTTAGGCGACCCTTGTGAAAGGGTCTTTCGACCCCCAAACAGTCGCGACCCACAGGTTGGCGACCCACAGGTTGAGAACCGCTGCTTTAGCGGTTTGGGCAGCTGCATTTGTCAGCTCGATCAGGAACCCTGGAACCGAACCCTGGTAATGCTGTGCGCAGGCCTATGCTAGCGCAGGTGCATTGGCGCCGACCGCACAGGCGCGTTGCCTCCGTTCCGGTGATTACGTAGGGGCGGGGCTTGTGGTCGGCGTCACTTCCAACTGCGGCTGGAGGCAGCGCCATTTTGAACGTGCAGCGGCCGCGGGCATTAGGTGGGTTGGAAAGGCCTGCTGGTTGCTGGAGTGGCGACCTCCTCTGGCTTTCTCCTTCACAGTACCGTCTCCGTGGGGAGGCACGGAGCCACAGACACATCTCTAAGGTTGCTTCCCGGCCCGAGGTGAAGCCTTCTGATGATGTTAAGGGGAAATCTGAAGCAAGTTCGCATTGAGAAAAACCCGGCCCGCCTGCGTGCTCTCGAATCGGCGGGGGGCGAGGGCGAGCCTGCGGCCGCCATGGCCCTCTCACTGGCTGGGGAGCCGGCGCCCCCCGCTCCCGTACCCGCGGAGGAGCGCCCGGAGGAGGAGGTGGGCTTCACCATCGACATCAAGAGCTTCCTCAAGCCGGGCGAGAAGACGTACACGCAGCGCTGCCGCCTCTTTGTGGGCAACCTGCCCACGGACATCACGGAGGAGGACTTCAAGCGGCTCTTCGAGCGCTACGGCGAGCCCAGCGAGGTCTTCATCAACCGCGACCGCGGTTTCGGCTTCATCCGCCTGGTGAGTGTCGGGCGGGCGCGGGCCGTGGTTTTCTCCCCGCCGGCGGGTCGCCAGCGGTTTGAGCCGCCGGCCTCGCTGACGGTTAGCCAAGCCCGGCTGCATGTTGGTCACTAGTCCCGGGAACCAGGGGTCGGGAACTCGGAGTCCAGGCAGAATGGGTTAGAAGGGGACGAACAGGACAGGCCTGGGGGGGGAGGGGGGCGGCGGGAGCCGTTTCTCACCAGAAGTCTCCTTGGGCCCGAAGGCCCTCCCAGCGAAATTGCTTCCTAGAGTTGTCCCCACCTCGTCCCTTTGGCTTCCAAAGACCCGCACGCGCGGAGCGGACAGCCTCGTGTTTCTCACGCCGCCGCCTCCCCAGTCGGCGGAGCCCGCATTGATCCTACACCCCGCAGTATTGGAACGGTGTTGAATTATTGTGTCTAATAAAATGTGTCTTCCCCGCCAACACTCGGGAGTTTTCCACGTTTTGGAATTGTATTGTTTTACTTACACATTTTAATACTAGAATACTATATATCTTTACTATTTTTAAGTCTAAACCTTAGGAATTTATCCCATAGCCTGCACAATTTGTGCCTCCCTTGTGTTTTTTAAAAAATACATTTTTATTTCAGAGAGGAATGGAGAGAGAGAAACATCAATGATGAGAATCATTGATTGGCAGCCTTCTGCACGACCCCCACCGGGGATGGAGCCCGCAACCCCAGGCTTGTGCCGCGGAGTAATTGAGCCCAGGACCCTTGAGTCCACAGGCCAAAGTGGCTAGGGCTCCCTTGTATTTTTTTTTAAAGAATATGATTGGTGAGGATTTACACTTAACAGGACATACTATCAGCTACTTGGTTTTTCTATGTGCTTTCTAGTGAACTCCATCAGTGTCAGTTATGCAGCACTGTTTTAATTCATATTTAGATGCTAGATTTTTGCTAATAAAATATCTTTCTTGGATGGAGGCTTTTTTACACAAAGTAATGTTTGCATAAAGAAGTGTGTGTTTACTTTGACTCTCAAATTTTATGTTCATGGTAATTTGTGGAAGCTTTCTTTTGGAACTTTAGCTTTTAATATTGGGTTCTCTCAGTGAGTGGTCAAGGCAGAATAGAAAATTGTAATTAAATGACAGTACCTTTTAGGGAGGACATTTGAACATCTAAATGGCCTCAAAAATCTTCATAGGGTATTAATGAGACATGGAAGTTTCCTTAAAATTCAAGTTAAATAATGCATTTTCAACATAAAATCATAAATGCTCTTAATTATATTTTGGACATTAGAGAAACAGTTTATCACTTGGTAAATTTGTTTTTAATATATCCAAAGTTTTCTTAAAGGAAGGTAGGAATACTATAATAAAGCATTATAGACAACTTTTAGTAAACTTTCCAAAAGGATGCTGCTTAACATTTTCTTGGTCTATTCTGAAGTTGACATTCTGGAAGAATGGTAGGGCTGCATTTCCCTCTCTTTTGGAAGTCTTATGCTTACAAATAAGCCAATAAACAATTTATTCACATGGGAAAATATTTTTCCTTCCTATCTTTAAAGCTAATAATCCTATCTTCTTTAGTGTATTAGTGCTGTGCAATAGAACTTTCTGCAGTGATGGAAATGCTATGTTTCTGTGCTGTCTAACATAGTGGCCACCATATGTGATTGCTGAGTAATTAAAATGTGGCTATTGTGGCTGAGGAGTTGAATTTTACATTTTATTTATTCTTGAATAGTGGCTACTACATTGGACAGCACAGCTCACTGCTTTTCTTTCTTTAAAAAAAATCTGTGAGATTATGAAATGGGGAACTAAGAAGGACTGCTATTACCTTGTTCCTTTGGAATATGCTCCTCCAGGCCTATCACCATAAATTTATGTGTAAGAATGTTAAAAATTTGTCAGTTGGAAATTAGAATTTGGCTTACAAAATTTGACTTCATGGATAACTTTACTATTTAATCTGAGCTCTGTGATTAATAGGTAAGTTTTAAAGCTTGAAATATTTCTGAGCTATTATGTATTTATTTCTAAGGAAAATCATAGAATGTATGTCTGATTTGAATGTAAGTAATGGTATAGTGGCTATAGTGTATATGTAGGGATGGTGTAGTGGCTCTAAAATACTGCTGGGTTTATCTGGTTTGTGTTTTTACAAATACTGTTGTGTGGGGGTTTTTTTGTAAATACAGTGGGGCCTTGACTTAGGAGTTTAATTCGTTCCAAGACCGATCTCGTTAAGGAGCTCGTTCACTCAAATTACTCTGTCAACTCAATGCAAAAAATCGACTGAGAGACAGCTGGTATCTCAAAAAACTTGTTAGTCGGGACACTAGTAAGTCAAGGCCCCACTGTATGTTTTTATTGACTTTTTTTTAAAAGAGAGGAAGGGAGAGAGAGATTGAAACATCCTATAGAGAAACCTCGATCGGCTGTCGCCTGCACACTCCCAACTGGGGATTGAGCCCCCAACCTTGGCATGTTCCCTGACCTAGAATCCAACAGTGACCTCCTGTTTCATAAGTCAGTGCTCAACCACTGAGCGCTGGCTGGGCTATGTTTGTTAATCTTTATCCGAGAAAATTTTTTCCACCCCCCCCCCCCCTAGAGAGTGGAAGGAAAGTGGAGAGAGTAAGAGAGAAACATGGATGTGAGGCACATCCATTGGTTGCCTCTTGCACACGCTCCGACTGGGGCCTCAGGTTGAACCCCCAACCTTTTGATTCAAGGGCGTTCACTAACCACTGAACCACACATGTCCGGGCAGCAATTAATTTTTAAAATGCAAATACGCCGAAACCGGTTTGGCTCAGTGGATAGAGCGTCGGCCTGCGGACTGAAAGGTCCCATGTTCGGTTGTGGTCAAGGGCATGTACCTGGAGTGGGAGATGTGCAGGAGGCAGCTGGTCGATGTTTCTCTCTCATCGATGTTTCTAACTCTATCTCTCTCCCTTCCTCTCTGTAAAATATCAATAAATTAAAAAAAAATGCAAATACATTTTCTTAGACTGGTAGTTGTAGTTTTGCAGTTAATTGATGAAGTCAAACAAAATTTTTTTTAAAAGGAATCTCTTTAAAAAAATTAATTTTAGAGAGAGAAAGAGTGAACATTGATGTGAGAGAGAAACATCTGCTGCTCCTGTACTTGCCCCGACTAAGGATTGAATCTTAATCTGCCAACCTTTGATAGCTGATGCTCCAACCAAGCCACACTGACCATGGTGAGGTAAGATTTTTGAGATGGTATAGCATCAGCATTACTAATATATAATGGTAGGGAAAAGAATTAAAAAATTTTTTTATTCATTGATTTGAGAGAGATAAACATCGGTTTGTTGTTGTGTATTCATTGGTTGCTTCTTGGGTGTGCCCTGACCAGAGATCAGTATCAGGACGATGCTCTAACCTAGTGAGCTACCTGGTCAGGGCAGGGGAAAGAATTTTTGTGTGTGTGTGTTTTTAATTGCAGTTTTAATTTTATTTTTTAAAAATATTTTTTAATTGATTTCAGAGAGGAAGGGAGAAGGAAAGAGAGATACAAACATCAATGATGAGAGAAACATTGATCTGCTGCCTCCTGCACGCCCTACACTGGTGATGAAGCCCACAACTCGGGCATGTGCCCTGAAGGGGAAATCTGTGTCCTCTTGGTTCTAGGTTGATGTTCAACCACTGATCTACGCTGGCTGGGCGAAGAGAAAGATTTTAAGTAGCATTTCCTTGTAAGATCCTAGTCCATAGTGTGAGCCCCTAGTACATTACAGATGAAATAGACTGTGTATATTTTGGATACATTTTGTGGAATTTTGGACCCAAAAGCTTAGGTTTTTACTAGTTACTGCAAATTTAGATTGGATAAATTAACTCAAAAGTTGTAGTGCATTTTAAAGCTAGTTTAATGTAGTTAAAGCTCTTTATTACTTTCACCTGAACTCGGTTTTGGCTTTTTTTTTTTTTTTTTTTTTTTTTTTTAACCCCAGCCCCTACTTTTAGCTTTAGTAAACCAGATTTCTGGAGCAATATTTCACAAAAGTGTGGTCCCTGTCCAACAGCTCCCATTCTCTTTGTAGTGTAAGACGAAGGCCACTTATTTTCCCCTACCATTCATGCTAGCAATGCTGACCTTATACCATCTCAAAAATTGTCTCACCTCAACAGTCAGTTAACTGGGTATTTGTTAGAAATAGAAATGCAAATTCTAGGGCTCCTTTATAGATCTAAGTCAGAAATTTAGGGTTTGGGGTCCAACAATCATGGGTGGTGGTCTTTTTTTTTTTTTTAAACAATGTTTTGTTTGTTTGTTTGTTTGTTTTGAGAGAGGGAGAAAGGGAGAGGGAGAGAGAGAAACATCCATCAGCTGCCTCCTGCATGGCCCCTACTGGGGATTGAACCCTGACCAGGAATTGAACCTGCCACTTCTCAGGGAATGGGACATACTCAACTGAGCCACACCAGCCCAGGACATTTTTTTTTTTTTTACTTAAAAAAAAAATCCTCACCAGAGGGATATATTTATTTATTTTTAGATGACGGGGATGGGGGGCGGGGTTGGGGGGTGGGAAGAGAGAAGAAGATTGAGGAAGTAGAAAGGAGGAAAGGGAAAGGATCATTGATTGGTTGCTTCTTGTACACACCCCAATTGGGACAGAATTAGGAACCTAGGTATGCGCCCTGAATGGGAATTGAATCTGCAAACTTTTGGTGTATGGGATGACACTAACCAACTGAGCAAACACCAGCCAGGGCTTGGGTATTATTCTGAAGCTAAAGTTTGAGAACCATTGTTCTAATTAAAGAATTAGAAATTAACTGAATTTACTTATATTTAATTATGGGGGACTAAACCCCCTGCCCTCATGCTTTTTATTTTATTTTATTATTTTAAAAATATATCTTTATGTTTCTAACTCCCTTCTTCTCTGTAAAAAAATCAATAAAATATATTAAAAAAAACTCATCGATGTTTCTAACTCCCTTCTCTAAAAAATCAATAAAATATTAAAAAAATATA